ATATCTTCATGGGAGAAAACTCGAAATACTGAGTATACGTCAAAAATCGAAAGAACACTACCTTGGCGAAAACTGGTTCTGTTTTTCTCCCGTCTTGTTCTAGAGCTTTGACAGTTTCTTTTTCTGGATCCTTGACTAAAACTGATTCTGAAAATGTATTTTAGAAATTTTTAGCACCTTATCTTCACCTTGAAAAAAACTTATCTACAGGAACACATCATAAATGAGCACCTTGTTTTTTTGAAAACTTTCACAGTTTTTCTGTTGATGTTTAAAACTTTTTTCTATCAGAATCGCCATCAGACATACAACAGAACGCACATCGCACTTTTTTCGGTGAAAAACTGTACAACAAATAGAGCGTTTTCAAAAATTTTCGCTCCAGAGTGGCCTTCTATCCTTTATGTGATACGAAGAAAAAGAGCAGAGACAATATCGTCAGGAATAACTATTGTTTTCAAATTCGCTCCTTGACAATGGTAAGATTTAACAATTTTCGCAGAAACAGAAGCGAGATTTGAAAATGCTTGGGGAGCTGAAGTTTCATTTTGGATACTAAATTCACATGTTTCACTTAGACGTTTACGTTTTTGAGGGCTAAATATGAGATGATAACTTCCACAGCTTTTCTGTTGATGTCTAAAACTTTTTCTGTAGTGCGTCAGAATCACCATTAAGCATACAATAGAACTATATGTGCAGGTTTTTGAAATTTTTCGTAATTTACGAAATTTACTACTTCTTTTTATACAGACTGAAAAGTTTTAAACAAACTGGAAGTTTTCAAAAAAGACAACTCCTGTTTCGACAGGGGTCAGCGTTTGAATCGAGGGATCCGATGCACAACGGGAGTTCTGGGCAGTGTCTCAAACTGACTAATCGGATGAAGACGGCCAGCAGTATCATAAAAAAGTCATTAAACTGCAAAACAATAAAAAAAAGCAAAAACAGAAATTTCTCATAGACGGATTCTATCCCAGTATCTCCTTTCTATATAAAAAAACGTTCGATTAGTCGGGACTAACCGCCAAAAGTTTAGTGATGTAGCCACCGGGTGGACTCAGTCCCTCACTAATTGGTTCTGCTTTCTTTCTTGGCTGTCTCAAATATTCTTGGCTGTTTTTCTTTGTGATATCATTTGCCTCAACTTTTTGCAAAAATACGTTCACTTGTTATACTTAGGGAACGTTTCAAAATGTATTCCGGTCGGTCGGTCGCTATTCCTCTATTCCCCAATTATTCCTCTATTATAGAATTTAAATTCTAATTTATTTTATTTTATTTTATTTTGTGTAATTCAGTTTCTTTGATTGTATTGTTGATACATACATCGGCATATATATACTTTCAATGTGCTCGTTGTTTTAACAGACATCTTTATAAGAGCAGACATTTTTCTGTTTAAAGAATAAAGTCAGAAAGTAACAAATTTTATATTTTCATCAACTGTTATTCAAGAAGGCGAGTGCTCACTGTAAACTTATTTCGTATTGCACCAACTTCGCGAACTAACATTACACTAATTAGAATAGACCCATTTCCATCTTTTATACTAGTTCAAAGTGCACGAGTTGTACACTATGCTGGTCTATTAAAAGGATCCCTTTAGTCTTTGAGAAATATGACTGTGAATATGGTTAATTATTGTTTAAAAAAGCAAGTTTCGATACAAGCAAAACAAGTCTCTGGAAGTCGAGCACGGAAAAACAAAGTTGCTAGAAAGTCGCAAAAATATCGTCGACTAATCGCGACAAAGCATCGCAAGAATCGAATGCCAAGTCACGTAAAATTTGGCGATTTTTAAGCGATTAACACCACGTGGGATGCCACTGCCATCTATCTTCGGATAACTTACTATTTCGATGATTTTAAAATGAGTTTTCCTCATCTACTTAAAATCAGATTATATTTTTAATCCAGAATAACTATTTCAATTTATATTTTCATGCAAAGGGTAAAATGCTTTATTTTTATTGGAAATATAAACGAACCAATCGCCTAATATTGCTTGTAAAGCGCATGTGTCTTTGACTTCGACTTAGTACATGTCATTATTATTGCGACCAGCTGTTATCTTCTTACCTTGAATTGAAAGGTAGATAGGTGGTCATGATGAATCGTCGTTTTATATTTATGATATTTATTCGGAAAAAAATGAATTTTTTATAGTTGTCTCTAACGAATAGATTATTGTTGCGTAAGTACTTTTTACTCTATGTGAAAATGATAGAAAATAACGTATTTGGTAAGGAATCAGTACCAGATCGAACCGTTCAGGGAAGGAGGAGGTTAGAGTTGTTCATTACAGCATTCAAATGATGTTCTAAACTATCGATACTAATTAAACTTAAAAGAGTGCAGCATTTGTTTTTCAGGAGTTTCAGAAGATGAGAAGTTTTTCTGTAATCAGGAAAAAATATTCTTCAACACAGCATCTCAATTCTCCCACTTCTGGAGCAGGACGTAAGTGCTACTAATTTGTTGATATAATGCAAATTGCAATAAGAGCGAGCTTTTGTATAGTACTGAATTATTATTTGAAAAAAAAACTAAGTGACTGCTATCACAAATTTACCTAGGTGCAAGGTATCTAGAACAGAGCGTTCTACGGCCTAATAGGCGTGTTACATCAGGAAACTATCTCCGAAACTATCAGGCCAAACCGAATGGAACTCAGTGTTTAGAGGTTTCATGAGGTTCTCTTTCTCTCGTCTCTAGAAAGTTTTCTACAAAAACCCTTGGAAGTAGGAGTTCCAATAAATCGTGGTTTTTGAGCTATAGTAGTTGAATTAAAAAGATTTTAAAAGTCAGCATTAAGAGATTGAACGTTTTAAATAACATATTTCGGGTCAGCGTCGAAAGGCGAACATTTTGCGGAAAAATACAAGTCTCTAACTCACAATTTCAATTTTTGACTTTAATTTAAAATTTATAATATTCAATTTTTAAAATGAATGTAGTTCAGCTCATCTAGGAGATGGAGCTTCGGTTCAAACGTGATTGTATAGAGAATTAAAAACTGAACAAACTTAGTGGTTTGACAATGTCCCCGTATTGTGTGATCTTGGTTTCTATGGATTCTTTTTAAATTAGGGGGGAAAAGTCACAATTCTGCTTGTATTTCTCAATTTTCTCCAACAGAACTCAACTTCTAAGTAATAAAAGTATCATATGCGGAATCACGATCAAAAATCGAATCAACTGTTATGTATTTCGAAAGTTTTACTTGATTTTCATTTTTTTGGTAAAAACCTCGATGATTTTCAATGTGAAAATCCTATCCGAGTACTTTAAATTTTTTCAAATTTTCACGTTGAAAAAATCATCGAGGTTTTTACCAAAAAAAATGAAAATCAAGTAAAACTTTCGAAATACATAACAGTTGATTCGATTTTTGATCGTGATTCCGCATATGATACTTTTATTACTTAGAAGTTGAGTTCTATTGGAGAAAATTGAGAAATACAAGCAGAATTGTGACTTTTCCCCCCTAATTTAAAAAGAATCCATAGAAACCAAGATCACACAATACGGGGACATTGTCAAACCACTAAGTTTGTTCAGTTTTTAATTCTCTATCCAACCACGTTTGAACCGAAGCTTCATCTCCTAGATGAGCTGAACTACATTCATTTTGTGTGCGCCTTTTTAAGAGGTTGTGTCCTCCAGGAAGGGGGTGTCAAATTTATCTTAAAACCAGTGGCTTTTGGGTATAAAACTGTTACTCCCTCTTTCTTTCTGTTTAGAACTAATTTTTTTTAAGACCAGGCGTTTCAGCATTGGGAGTTCCACCTTTTCACACCTTTAGGTGCTAGCAAGGTTTTTCAATACAATTTTCGCGAAACACGTTTTGGTGTAACAATGCAAAAAGAACGATGACTCATTGGGATGAGTCATCATAACCAGTGTATAATTTGAAAAGCAACCTTATGTTTATATAAATGGGCCTTTTCCATGAGAATTTACTTAGATTTTTCTAAGTGACTCCTCTGAGCTGGGAGGAGACTAGCAGCCTGGTCTACTGCCCCAGACCTGGGCGTGAGCCGCGATGCTTGCCTGTGAGCGATTTCGATGAATCTGTCCGGGGATTATCTGATAAACACATAAAGCTTTATTGGTGTAGTTACAGACAATAATATTTGATGCACGAAAATCGATATTTTCTTACGTTTTAACGCAAACAGTTTTGTTTCTGCAGAAAAACACAAAAGAATTTCATGCATGTTATGTTACGTGAAACACGAAAATTTTACCTCAGGTTTTGCAAAAACAACGGACCTGAATTAGTGCAATTATTTGCATTACATGTCTCTCGAAATTTCGACATGGACGAGAAAAGAACATTCATTTTGGCTGAAACTCTCAGGATATTTTAACCTATCTATGGATAAAATTTTAGATCGAAATACTGAAACTGCACATTTCTGTAGAAGTCTTGAAAAAATGTTGACATGGTCGAGATACTGAATTTTCAAGTGAATTCGATTTTTGTGACCTGTCTGCTGGAAGCATGGAAGCAACTATTTTTTGAAAATTCAATATCTCGAAGAACATTCATCTGGGCTGAGACTTTCAGGATATTCTAGCCTATCTATGGGCAAAATTTCAGGCCGAAATGACCAAACAAACTGTTTAGTTTGTTTAGTCATTTCAGCCTGAAATTTTGTCCAAATCCAGTATATTATCCGAATCTGCACATCGTAGGGCCATCTATTAATGAAAAATAATTCTTAACTTGGACTTACGATTTTTGAGAAAAAAAATAAAAGTTTTTCTTACATGGGTTTTCGAACGGCCATATTTAGTAAAATGCGCCATCCATCCACAAAATCCCATGCTGTGTCCGAATTACTGAGAGCCAAGGTCTCGCTTGACACATACATCCGTAAAGCATTTCAGCTCATAATACTTTTAATGATAGAAGATATAATGTTTACCTTCCATAACACTCTACAGTCAAAAGAACTATAGTTAATGTTCATTGCTTTTTATAGGTTATAATGTATCTCTTGCTCATCTTGTTGATATTATCTCTGACACCGCTCACGAATGGTAAAGCCTGTTTAAAATCCCACTATCGTTCTGGATTTAATGAAATTCGTGATCATAAGCAAGACGCTGAACGTATCATTTCATATGCCACACAAGGTAAATTTAAAGGTGTCACTTACAGTCGATTAGCCAATTTTACTGATAACATTGGGTCGCGTTTATGTGGTAGTGAATCATTAGAAAAAGCTGTCAATTGGACGAGACAAGCTATGCTTGATGACGGGCTCGACAATGTTCATATTGAAGAAGTTTCCCTTCCACACTGGGTACGTGGACAAGAATATGTTCAACTACTAGAACCTCGACAGAAAGGATTAGCTATGTTAGGATTGGGTAACTCGGTGGGAACGGGTCCTAATGGCATTACAGCGAATGTTCTGGTAGTTCAAACGTTTGATGAATTAGAGCAGCAATGTAGTAAAGCAAAAGATAAAATTGTTGTTTATAATTCATACTGTGATTGGTCACTACAACCTCTCCAGTGTTATGGTGTCACTGTTCAGTATCGTTCACAAGGCGCATCTAGAGCAGCCAAATGTGGAGCACTCGCTGCACTAGTCAAATCAGCAGCGTCCTTCTCCATCTATTCACCGCATACAGGTATATATATTCAATTCATTTCTTGAATTTTAAGGATCTCTAGTTTAGGTATGATGTCTTATGACCCATCGATAAACAAAATCCCCGCTGCTGCATTGAGTATCGAGGATGCGGAAATGCTGTGGCGCTTTCAACAACGTGGACAAATGACAAAAGTAAAATTGTACATGGAAGCTCAGACACTTCCGAATGTCGTTGGACATAATGTAGTGGCAGAAATTAAAGGAAGTACATATCCAGAACAAACGGTGCTCGTTAGTGGTCATTTGGATAGTTGGGATGTTGGACAAGGTAAGCGGCCACTCATTCTTACAAGAAGTGTGAATAATACTTTCTAAATTAGAGAAAAGTTTCTGTCTTATCTTTTCTACTAACATGATCTTATCTATATTGCATAATCGTTCTTCTTCCTTATCATGACAGACGTGAGGTAATATATATATATATTAATGTAGATTAGCGAGTGTTAGAAACGCCGTATTCTATTAAAGAGTCTAGATGATATTATCGAAACAGCTTTAATACTATAATATTTGCAAAATCTATCTTATTGTGACTAAGGGTTAGAGAATACACAGTGGTTGTTTATGATGCCAGATTGTTCAGCAAACTTTCCTGGTTAACCTAAGTCATAGCGCAGCTGTGAATGCTGTTTCATCAAAAGTACGAAACTGCCAATAACACTCCCAAAATATGCAAAGCACACTTACACCATCTGTTCTCAAAAGCGACCTGTTCACTCGAAGCATTCGGCATTTTCAACTAATCCCGACACGTATCACAAGAATCAAACGTCAAGTCACGTAAAATTTGGCGATTTTTAAGCGATTAACACCACATGGGGTGCCACTGCAATCTATCTTCAGATAGCGTACTATTCCGATGATTTTAAAATGAGTTTTCCTCATCTACTTAAAATCAGATTATATTTTTAATCCAGAATAACTATTCCAATGGTTTATGTTTTCATGCAAATGGTTAAATGTTTTATTTTATCTAGATTTGAAAGGTAGATAGCTTGTCATGATGAATCGTCGTTTTATGTTTATGATATTCGGAAAAAATGAATTTTTATAGTTGTCTCTAACGAATAGATTGTTGTTATGTAAATACTTCTCACTCTATGTGAAAATGATAAATTAAATTTAGCGTATTTGGCAAGGAATCAATACCAGATTGAACCGTTCAGGGAAGGAGGAGGTTAGAGTTGTTCATTACAGCATTTAAGATTGTTCGTTTCAACAGACGTGGAGCCATATTGAGCAGAGTGTTCTGATCAGAATGAGGTGTCCAGCAGGTTTGTACCACTTTGTCTTGCAGAGTTATACTAGTTTTGCTAAAGGCATTGAACTATAATTACTGAAACAGCGACATCAATGCTTAGAATATGGTTGTATCTCCTCCTAGACGATTCATCGTAAAGTCTTCGTTTTTGTTTTATTTTAAAGCTAAGACATTTATCTAAAGTTTGGTCCGCGGCGGTTTTGAATTTTGTTGTGCAGAGATAAGTGGCAAACACTTCGCCGAATTTGGGTTATTTTTAGAGCTCTGACTTAAAATACATGTACGGAATGAACGGAAGCAAAATTGAAAAATCACCGCGGATCAAATTTTAACTAACGCCATGTTCTTTTAAGAGTCTAGATGAAATTGGCGGAACAGCTTTAATAGTACAATATTTGCAAAATGTGTCTTACTGTGACTAAGCGTTAGAGAATACATCGTAGTCTTTTAAGATGTTGTTATTCAGCAGAGTTTACTAGTTAACCTAAGCCATCGCGCAGCTGTAACTGCACTGAACTTGGTGTATTCTCAGTGAGAATACACCAAGCCCAGCAAGTTTGAGAAAAATAGTCTATTTTTGAGAATACACTGCGTATCGATATTCTGATACCCCTCACACTGGCGGCAGCTAGTAATTTGTGATCATGTGTAATATCAGAAATATACAGTAAACAATATTTGTTTTTTATTTGCTCAGGTAAGAAAGCATTTACTATTCTCTTATCACTCTGGCACTTTATGACTCAATAACTTACTCTAACTAGATGAGATATGTCGTCATGCGCAGAGTCACTGAGTTCGTTGATTTTTCTATGTACCGTATGACTAAAACTTTTTGATATACATTTATCATAAACAGTGTCATGAAGTTCTTAAAATGATTCAGTAATTGTTGAACCTAGGAGTTTCTCAAATTTTTCGATTAACTATTATGCTCAACGAAAACTGATAAAGAAAAATCGGTCTCTATTAACCTCTTTTCTAGGTGTTGATCTCAGTTTTAAGCTATACAGAGCTCTTCAGCGTGTATTTCAAAGAACGTCTTTGGAGAGTACGAAAGTCATATGCTGGCGGCATCTAGTAAACCATGATACATGGAACCTTGATAAAGCTACCGTCATCTTTTCTTGATACATTCCATACTCTTCGAAAGTGTTTGATTCCCGAAGTAGGAATAGATTGCTGACACAGAAAGCGGACGAGTCCGATATGAGTTGTTGTATAGCGTCCACATACTCACTCGAAACATCGATCTCGTCTTCTCGAGATTAAATTGACATTCTGTGACTATCTTTTCTCTTGCTATATGTGTTAGGTGCTATGGATGATGGTGGGGGTGCATTCATCTCATGGTCTGTTCTCTCAATTCTTCGACAATTGAATTTACGTCCTAAACGCACTGTTCGCTGTGTTTTATGGTCCTGCGAAGAATTTGGTGGTGTTGGAGCTGAGCAATACTTTGAACAACATCGACAAGAATTGGAGCAAATGGATTTAGTTTTAGAGTCAGATTTGGGCGTGTTTCATCCTTTAGGTTTAGAATTCGCCGGCAATGCTCAAGCATTTGAGATAATGCAATCAATCGGAGAACAATTGTTAGTGGAGATCAATGCAACACAAGTGGTAAAAGGAGATGGCGGAACGGATATAGGTCCATGGATGGATAACGGTGTACCTGGTGGATCATTGCTGAATGAAAATGAAAAATATTTCATGTTTCATCACTCGAACGGTGATACAATGACTGTATTAAATTCAACCGACATGGATTTAGCCGCAGCTGTTTGGACAGTACATGCCTATGTAGTAGCAGATTTAGACGATATGTTACCAAGATAATTGTAGATCTTGGTTTTAGTTTTGTTACTTTGTGATACTTATTTTGATAATTTCCAGTGCATTTTTATATATTTTAATTTTTTAAGAAAGCACCTACTATGCTTTTATCACTCTGGCACTTTATAATTCAATAGTTTGTCTAACTAGATGAGATATTCCATCGTGCGCAGAATAACTGAATTCGTTGATTTTTCTGTGAATCGTATGAGTCATACTTCACAATACTTTTACCATATTAAACTAAATTTCTCACGAGGAATGTCACGAACCCTCTTAACATTTCAATTAATTAGAAAGTTAATGCTAAGTCATATAGGCGTATACATTTTTCAACTTTTCATTGGAAAACCAATCATTTCTATGTGTTTTTATCGTGCAGATACTGCTATCCATACTTTTATTTTAAGTATAAGATGAGAATCGGTACACGTATACACAATGAAAGATAAAAGTTTAAGAACCAGTGCAGCTATCATGTTAAGAATTTTAATAAAAGTTTTAATAAAAATAATAAAAAGTTAAAAAGATTAAAACTAAGAGTCAAAATTACAATTCAATATTTCGACCTAGTAATACGGTCATTTTCAAGTTTCTCTTTGTAATTTTAATTCTTAGTTTTAATCTTTTTAATTTTTTATTATTTTTATTAAAACTTTTATTAAAATTCTTACCATGATAGCCACAATGGTTCTTAAATTTTTATTTTTAATCTTGCCCATAAACTCAAAGAAAGATGTTATTATGAACAAAAACAAATTCTCCGTAGTTCATGAAAATCGTTTGAATTGTTATAAAAATCAGATGAATCAGACATTAGATGTAGAAATTTACACCGTACCTATAATGATATGGTAAAATTTCATCTCATGATTCAGTGATCTGTGCTAAAAACCATTTATTTGATTCACCATGCACGGGGTATGTTTCATGCTTTTACTTCCACCACTAAAACATCGGTTTATTTACGGTAGTGTTTATACTAGAATAGTACGGGAAATAAGAGACATTTTCTGATACTGTCGCCATATTTCTGCTAATTCTCAAACGTTTTTGATCTTGAAACATACACTGATACATACACTGAAAGATATCCGCTAGTAATCAGCATACCCACACACGAAACATCGATCTCGTCTTCTCGAGATTAAATTGACATTCTGTGACTATCTTTTCTCTTGCTATATGTGTTAGGTGCTATGGATGATGGTGGGGGTGCATTCATCTCATGGTCTGTTCTCTCAATTCTTCGACAATTAATATTATATGCACCTTTTGTCACTAGCTTGATATATGATTAACATGCTCTTATCGTCGAGAAAAACATAAACTATACTTTTGAACTTTTCATCGAGGCAAGATGCCACAGACACAGGCACACGTATACAGAAAATAAAGTTTCCACTGGGTACCCAAACTGTTAGGGATCAAGTGATTTATTACAGGAATTATTTGGAACCCAATGAGTTATTGTCAATAATGTTTTACTGAAATACTTGAACCAAAACCATTTCTAACAAAAAATGACGTATTTCATGAACAATATGACATATTCAGAACAAATTTGTGTAGGTTAATTCGTCTAACCGAGCCGATCGCAGCACATACTAGTTTACGTGGTCCGTCCTGTATGGTTTAGTGTCCCAGGTGATTGAATCGCACTATCTGGTCGTATAAGATCGTATACGAATCGTACGAAATAATATACGATTATGTACGATTTACATACAAATCGTAGTATCTGACTTGCCATCTGATTCGTACTATACGATTTCATACGAAGTTGTGTGATTGCATATGATCTTGTACGATCGTATTATACCATCCACATGACAAATCAGATATCACGATTCATATATGATTTTCATACGCTTTTGTCTAATTCAGATACGATCGTATACGATTTGTTTGACATGGGATGTTCTTTACCAGAAGTTTTTGCGCAAAAATGGAGATTTTTAGTATAACAACTGATTGGTGAGAACCTGTCACAGTGAGAGAAAGTAGGTTTCGGAAATCACTAGGTCGCTTTGCTAGAAGCTTCTCCAGATCATTGTACACTTTTTCTGGTT